AGTAGTCACCCACCCTCTGAACATCAACAGCCATGTAATTCACTATCTCCCCAGTCGTGTGGCTTTGCCTGGCAGAGCTTGATAGCTTGAGTCCCTTGCGGTATACCATTGCAGTGAGAGCAGACCTAACATGCATTCCCAGAATGTCAACCCCAAGATACCATTGCCGGCTTGTGAATGTTTCTACCAACTTTGCTACAAAGAAAATTCCAGTGAGAATGTACCCTTCATGGGGGAATGCTTCAACCCCTGCTAAGTAATCTACAAAGTAACTAATCATGTACGGCCCGACATACGAAACCAGTGTGTTCACCCCAGCAAAGATTGCATTGCATGCAGCCTCCCTCCAGAAAGATTTCAATATAGCCCAAGCTAAAGAAGGTTGCCCAGAAGGGTTTTCAGCCTTCAACTTCTCCCAGTTAAAAGTCAGGAGTTTATAGTTCGTCTTGGAACGGTCTTTTTGTGCAAGGAGTGGAATGTCTTTCAGATCAAGTGGTCTCTTTGCACCAGTGGAAAGAAGAGGGTTTAGCCATGAAAGAGTGGTCAAACTGAAGAAACCAGCATTGCTGTAAGGAGTGACTTTGAGACACTCTGGCTCCTCTTCTTGCCCTAACAGTAATGGCTGTTCAGCATCAGGGTTCGTGTGTACTTGTACTCCGCTATCCCCCCTAATAGCAACAAAACATAGGAACGCAAGGGCAGGGGTAGAAGCAAAATTCGCCAACACATGAGAACTCATGTGTGCTGACCCTTCTGCTACAACCCCTCTAGCATCGACATACAAAGTACCCAAACATATGAGAAAAGACAGGCTCCACCAAACCCTCATAAGCAAATTGAACTTTTCTGCTCCCCTGAATTTGCAGTAGATTGCCGAGAAGCTCAACACAAACCAAGCCAAACTCTGAGCTGCAGGCAAAAGTATGACGGTCCAATTCACAACATTCTCCTCCCCTTGTGCGGCCTTCCTTATCAGACCAACCACATCATATCCCAGCACAACAATGCACAGGAACAACACATAGAAGCAACAGATAAGAGAAAGCTTGTAGCTTCTGTCGGTTTCAACCCTCTGGATTTGAACATCATCCCTTCTCCCAACTGGAACTGATTCTGCACCGATGTTTGAACTCTCCTTGCAGGTCCTAATCCGGCCATAGCACAGGCAAATCTGTTTGGCGGACACAACCGAGACGAACACAAGGAACAGCGTCAAGTGAATGCAAATGGAGGCAAGCTCAAGCACCGGCAGACCATGAAGACCGGCGAGGACGGACGAAAGGAACGGTGCCTGGTTGGAGATTTCAGAAGTGAACAAAGTCACACCGATACCCATTTCTCAGAGATATCAGTGCAGAAGGAAGGGGTGAGAATCAAGACGTATGAATTGAAGCTGCTTCACTAGACAAATTGATATATAACAAGATGGAATAGCAATAGGGTTCAGCTCGTGTAATGGGCCTTCCACCATCTGGCGATGAAAACCTCTGTCCGTAGCTCCAAAACAGTGACAAGTAGCAGAGATGAAGAGAGAGAGAGAGAGAGTGAATTGTTCTACAGACACATTACACATGAAAACACAGAGGGTTTTATCATCGAAGACAAAATATCAGGCACGGCAGCAGCAGAAGGGAAGATGAAAATACATAAACTCCAAATCCCTAAACACAATTGCTTGAGAATTCAGAAAATTTATTTTATATATGCATAAACAAAAAAGAAAGAAAAAAAAAAGAATGTGCACAACAATTGTTTTCAAGATTAAAATCTGGAGCAAACCCATGACGGAAAATCCAAAAAACTGACCTAGGTTTTGGGGTATTGACCCCAGAATGTCGGCAAGCGAGGCGGTGGAGATTGTCGAGGAAACTGCGAGCTCGGGATAGATAATAATACTGGTGGATGGTATATTGATAACAGGTAGCGCCAGAGAGAGAGAGAGAGTGCGTGGCAGAAGAAGAAGAAGAGAGCTATGAAAAAAGCACAGAAATAGAAAGACAGAGAGAGAGAGCAGACGACGACAAAACTCACCAATCTCTTTCACCCTCCCACGCACTTATTAAAGCAGCAGCAGCAGCAGCGTGTTAGTGCGAGATGGTTATTCAGTGAATGAGTGATGATGACACACAAAAGATAGATGGAGAGAGAGAGAGAGAGATATGTAGAGAAAGGGGAGAGCGTAGATCCACACCATTGCAATGGAGCTTACGGTACTTATAGGCTTCGTATGAACGTGTTTAATAATGTGAAATTCATTATTTAAAAGATATACTCTCTACTCCTCCACATTTGACCGTCCATGTACGAAATGTTGCATTTTGACCATTTGTATTACCGAGTAGTATTTATACGTAAATATATTTTATAAAAAAGAATTATTTCAAATTTACATCTCAATATCGATGTCAAAGTTTACAAACTTTGACCAAAATAAATCAAATGGGAAGATCATTTCGAGACACAGGGAGTATTTACTACTCTAGAATTCTTTCTTACCATAAAATTTTAAGAAAAAACAAATGTACCCTAAAAATGTAAAATTTTGATTTTATTCTTATATTTTGTCCTTACTTCATAATAAGTTAGGATATGAAGTATATGATAGATAACTCATATTTAAAAATAATATCAAAATTACTCATTTTAAAATAAATTATATTTGAAAAGTTTTATAAGACGAATGAAGTATCCTAGATTAACTTTAAAAGAAAGTTAAATAATAAATTTGGGATTGAAAAGTATTTACACAGAAAAATGCTTGAGAACCCTACTTGAGGCACACCAAATGTACACTAGAAACAAATAAGCACATACAGACACTAATATCTAATGACGCACACACAGACACTAGTATATGTGCAGGCACACACACTAATATCTCTATACACACACAGACAATAAATATTTATGCATGGGTATTATATTTTGTGTTCTCAAGTGTGGTCCCCGTGGCACTCCCCATTTACAAAACAAAGATGATGACAGCTTTTTTAATGCCAGTAGAATAATAATTCCAAAATTTATTGTATTGATGGTGATTCTTTTTACTTTTAAACTTTAGGGTGATTCCACATCCTTTTTCCCACCCATACATACGTACTTGGTTTGATAGGTGTTGTGTCCCATTACACTTCTCTCTCAAGTCTCAATCATTGCTACTAAGCTTTTTTTTTTTATTAATTATACGGAGTAGTCCATTACTAAATAAGGGCGTCACGTTCATCACGCTTAATCTTTTTTCCTTCTTTTAAAATTTATTTAAACCAAAATCTATTTAAAATAAAAACATTAAATAAATAATTTATTAAAATTAAAATTAAAAGTAGAATAAATAAAAGTACAATTAAAAAATAGGTTTAAAAAACTTATTCGTTGTCCGGAAGTGGAGAAGCGAAATTCCACAAATAATCAACCAAATCTGCACGGAGGTCGTGGTTTTATGCGTGTTCGATTAGCTCGTTATACTCTCTGTTCCCAAATAAATTTGCTTGTTTTCTTGCTAATTTTGGTAGAATTTACGGAACATATAAGCCTTGTTTGATTAGCTCGTTATGTTTTATGTTTCCAAATAAATTACACTTTAACACTATGTTTGGCTCAAGGATTTTGGAAGGAAAAGAAAAGAAAATGGTTTTCTCTCATTTTCCTCACCAAAATGGAAGGAATTTGGTTTTCTCTCCACTTGGTACATTTTGCCTCCTCATTTTCTTTTCCTTCCACCTTTCCTTTCTTTTCCTCTCTAACCAAACAAGAAAAATAGTTTTCTACTTCATTTTCTTTCTTTTCCCCTTTCAAATTCCTTGAACCAAACATAGTGTAAATAAAACGAAATAGATTTCAAATTTTTTCATTTTATTTTATTTAAATGTACACTTAAATATTTTATTTATACTCCGTAATTGTTTGAGTCAAATCAGTCACGATTAGTTCAAAAGTCCACAACCATCCGAAAAACTAATTTGGAGCATTTGAACATACCATATACTCCATCTCGCATGAAGTTTCAAAATACTTGCATTTTTACTCAACCTAAATTTAAAATAAGAAATTCTACCTAAAATTCACAATTAGCGGCCTAGTCTCGAGTGTTAACACCCGAACTTACCGTCATGCATCACATAATGTTTTAATTTGTTAAAAACATCATTTTTGTTATGAAAAATCATTTTTATAATAATCATAATCAATTGGTATCAAAAATAGAATTTTAAAGCTCAAAAATAGCAATTTCAGACAAAATTTCGGACCAGAGTTTCGGAAGATCGATCCAGCCCTCTGGATCGATCCAACTAGAAGAAAAACTCCCAGAGGATCGATCCAATGAAGGGGATCGATCCACTCTGTGGATTTTCAGCCACTGTTCATTCGTCTTCAACCTCGGTCCATTTTTCGGGAAAACCATTTTTAGTCACCGAACTTCAATTAAACTATATAGAG